TCTTTTACAGATTTTTATACCCTCAGTTCAGCTGCTTTCAAGCATTCTCAGTAGTGTAAATCAAATTGTCTTTTCTCTTCACAAGGGGTTATCTGGTTGGAACATCTCAGGAAACTGACTGATACTCAGGAAACACTTACTTGGGAGCCAGCTTGACATTCCTATGGATAGCAGATATAGTGATGGGATATCTCCTGGTGTCTTCAGAAACAATAGATAGCTTGCAGCATCAGGGGTTTGGATTTTTACTTGTGAACAAGCCTCAGCTTAGCATGACTTTTCCAGATCCTCCTATAATCTTTTAACAGACTGAAGGCAGTTTTTGGAGTGTTCATAACCTGTTGTGGAGAGGACTTCCACCAGTCATCCCAGGAAAAGTACGACAACACTTGTGGTCAGGGCTCCAACGGGCTGGATGCTGTGATGAACCCTTTACCATTGTTCAAATGTTGCCCATACCCCCTGACTCAGTGTCTTGCCTCCGGATTCCCTAACCTGGCAACCGAGTTGTGGCCAACTAAGTTTAAATAGGCCTCCCATAGTGGGACCAGGGAATGTATGGCCTGAGATGCCTAGTAAACTTACTTCTGCTTAGAAGGGGTGTGTGTGTGTGTAAATCCAGATTAGAACTGGTCTGATAAATGCTGAGCTGGGTGTGTGGGTTGATTAGCATTGGGAGCACAGATTCCCCATCATGCAGTGCTCCCCTGCTCCCAGGATTCACTGCTGTCTCTGCTTCAGGCTTTCTGTTCTCCATCTCTCATGTAAATGAATGGTCATCTGGTTCCATCTCGGATGCAAATGAGACCTAGGGCAGTTGTTTCACTCTTATCACCCTTATCTGGAGGGTTTTAGGTGTGTCTTGCACTGCATCTTAATCAGTTTCTGTTTAGGTAGAGGAGGGGGGGGGATTCTTTGTGAGTCAGACAGGCTGCGTCCTGTGTCAGGGTTACCCAAGAACATGAAGCTGAGAGGTAACAGTGTAAATACTATGGAAAGAAGAAAGCTCTCAAAAGATGGGGATGTGATGCAAAATCTTGTTCTGATAGCATTGTTGACTTTCCAGAATAAGTTTATCTTTTGGCTTCAGAGGGATTTTACATAATCTACATGCATACACCCAGCCAGCTTCTCCACTGGTACAAATCATGATAGCATGGTCATAATAAGTCAATAGAGAGATGCCAATTTACATCAGCAGCAGATCTGAACTGCCATGTGTTAGGCCCTTACTACTGCATTCAGCACCTAGCCTTTGGTATCTGACTTCCCAAATGTGAAGCCCAGCCCCTTAGAGAGTGCCTCTAGTCCACAGGGACTTGAACAGTCAGGCAAGACAAAACCAAGGTCTTCAAGGTCTTGTTTAATGAAAAAAAATGCTGTGATCTATGTTATCTCAACAGTGATCATATACTCCTGCTACTTTCCCAGTCCTGGGTTGGAAGGGACCTCAAGGGATCCAGAAGTGACCAAGTCAGTCATTAGACTTGGCCATCAAAACAGGCCTAGCCCCAGTTTTGTGCTCCTATGGGCCTATGCAACTCATGGACTAGGACAAAATATGTAGGATGAGGGGGAAGCCATTTGGGGTCAGAGAGGTTCAGCTGCGGAAAGAGCATATGGACAAGGACAGGCTAATCTAAGGTCTGACCACTCTCAGGCCACCTGCTCGGGGTGGGGGAAGCTTCCTTAACAGAGCCAGTGTCTTGTTCCTTCTAAGCAGAGCCTCATCTTTCAGAGAAGATGAAACAGAAACTCCTGGGACATCTCGATACCACCTCCCTAGCAGGCCCTATATGCACTGGGTGCCGAGTGCATGTCGCAGAACTCATCTTAGGTGCTCTGTCTTAGACTTGGCTGGGAAGTAGAATAGAATCTAATTTACATGACAACCAATTCAATCCTCCAGTGATAAGAGCCATCCCAAAACGCATTGGTTTTCTTCCCTTCGCAAGTCACCTTTAAGCCTGTCCTCCCGCCCCACCCCTCCCCTCCCCTCCCCATCGTAGTTCCCAAGGAAAGTTCTACAAACGAACAGAACTAATTAGCATGCAGTTTGCTTCTCTGCATGTCACAGCTTCACTCTGCTTCACAAAAGCTGGCTGTCTCTAAAGTAGAGTCCTGTTATGTCCACAGCATGGAAGGTCCTAATGCATCTTGCCGGGATCATTTGACCCCAGCAGACTTCCTGCCTATGGCAGGCTGGACTCGATGATCTTGTGAGGTCCCTTCCAGCCCCAATGTAGCAAATCTCTGAAATTAGAGATGGAACCCTTTGATCCACACAGAAGCAATTTGCTCATTTTGGTTTATTTTTAAAATGTGCTACACAGCAGGTTAAAATATGATGACCAAAGCAGTGTTGACCTTCTCTTTGATTAGGCCAGTTCATGCCTGAACCAGAAGTGTCTATCTTCAACGAGAGACCTGGTCAGGATCCAGAGAAACCAGAAGCCACCATGGAGTTCAAAGGACACAAACTTACAGTCACCAGGTAGGATTTCTGAACAAACAGAAGGCAAGTTTGACAAGAAAAATAGCAGACCCTAAAATTTGTAGTTGAATCCAATCAATAAGGATCTACCACATTCGCAGAGGCTGCCCTCCGATACCACGGGCAGAACGTGGACCCAGCCAACCATTTTGTGGATGAAGCGTGGTGGCCCCTCCCTCCCACCTGATTGGCTGAGGGGCCTGAATGGCCCCAACCCTTGCCAAGGAGCTGCCTGTCACGTGGCCCTGCTCCTCACCACTGATTATCTGCAAGGGCTGTCATGCAGCCCCATCTCTCACCACCAATTGGTGGAGAGGGGCAGGGCCACATGACAGGCAGCCCTCACAGCCAATCAAGGGTGAGGAGCAGGGGCAGTAGCCATCTTGCCCGCAGCGCTCCCGCTCCCTTTCCTGCCCCACTGGGCTTCCGCAGTGCATCGAGGGCTGCTGGCTCACTCCGAGCAGCCAGCATTTTCTTTCCTCTACGTTTTTTTTTCCTTCTGTGGATTTCACGGTCATTGCCCAGTGTTCACGGGCAATGCTGGATTTCATGGAATTCACAATATTGCAAATTTGGTAGGTCCCTACAAGTCGATCACAACATTAAAAAAAAAACAACAACAACAAATGGAAGTCACTTCTTAAAAAATGACTTTGGGCTTCTCTCTCAGTGGTTCTAGAGATTTCCTTTGTTCAAAACTGCAAACAAACTTCTCGTGCTTGTCCACAGAGCATATCCAGAATGGGACTGAAAGTCAAGCTGGGTTCTTTTGTTTGTGGATCACCCCGTAAAAGTCAGATTCTGGCCTTAGTTATAATCACAGAGATCCAGTGTTCATTTCTCCCGAAGTCTTAAGTGATTCATGTCAACTGCATTGTCTACCCCACATCATGGGAGTCCATGGCAATGCTATGAATCCATAGCTTTGGCAGGAAGGAGAGGTGGGTTGGAGCCAAACAGCAGCTGCTCCTTGGCAGTGGATATTGCCATCAAAATTGGCACAGGAAGTAACGCTGCTCTCAGGAAGTTAGCATGATTAGGACGGCAGGGAGGGAACTTTTGGCAGTATGACCCCCTGGAACCTGCTTTACAATTAGGGAGGCCAGGACACTAAGCTAACCAGAGGCCTCAACAAGAGCACAAATGGAACTGGAGTGCCATTAGCGTCTGTGCTGGAAGTAGATTGATGGCTGCTCCATCTCTATACAGCTTGCCCTAAGACAAATCATAGCTCTGGATTTTGTCAAGGAGGATGTTACACTTCCCTCTCCTGAGGCTTTCTGTTTGAACTCTTCTTATAATGCACATTTTTCCGAAGAGGGGTGGCTTGCACAATGATGCATCTGCATTTCAGAGCTTGTCTATCAAACACCTTACATCCCCTTAGGTGCAAGACATCAGCCGGCTTTCCCAGATTAGTGGAACTTTACACCTGGTTTGCAATTGAGAGAAACGTGTTCAATCCCAAATGATTTTCCACGTGCCTGCCACAGAAAGACAGGAGCAGTCACAAAGCTGTAATCATTATTAGGGGTCTACCCAACTTGAGGCGGCAGCTGGCTGATTTCACCAGCGGCAGGGGGCAGCTGCCATTTTCATGGGCTGATCAAGGTGGGCCCCCTCCACACCTCTAGCTCAGGGCCTCACCCCTCACTGCTGATTGGCTGCAAGGGCTGTCTCACACAACCCACCCCTTGCCACCAATTGGTAGAGAGGGGCAGGGCCACAACACAGGCAGCCCTCTCAACCAATCAGTGGCAAAGGGAGGGGCAGCAGCCATCTTGGGCTTCCATTTTTGCCAGCAGCACCCCCCCCCCCCATTGGGCTATGTAGGCAGGTCACAGCATTGTGAGGCTGCTGGCCCCCTCTGGAGAGCCAGCATTTTATTTTCAGGAAGTTTTCTTTTTGTTTGTGGATTTCACAGACATTGCCCGCTTTTGTGATTTCTGTGAAATAATGATTAGGGACCTACCAAATCACAATGCCTTGCAGCTTAGTTTCCATTATGTTGCTTAGCAAGGTAGGAATCTTATCATCACGAAAATAGAGGGGCCAAGCTGCATACAGGCACCGCCTGCTAATGGCAGTCAGCACCACTGAGAATCAGGTCTCACTAATGCATTCTTTCTTTAACCTGTAATAGCACAGCACCTCACCTATGTTGCTTCCTTTGTTGCAGAGGGTTGCAGAAAGACTACAGGATTGACCGAGTGTTTGGAACGGATGTGCAGTGCTGGTTTGTGCACAACAGTGGAAAGGGTTTCATTGATGGGTATTACACAGATTATCTCGTCCCCCACCTGTACAGCTTTCTGAAGAATCCCTGAAAGGCCAAATGCTAAACCAGTTTATAAAGAAGAAAAATCGTTTTGTTTCCTTTCCATGCTCAAGACAACTCATTCTTCTTGGCCTAACAACCCAGGCCACTGGGTAACAGGTATTTGACTAAAGCGGCCATTGATTCAAGTAGTGTTTCAGACTGGAGGAGCAGGAGACTGTCACTGTAAAACACAAAATTGCTTTCCTTTATAAATACATTTCTTAATAAGTAGTACATTTAAAAAAAAATCAAAAACTGTAATAAAACTACTTGTTGGATTATAGTATTGTATCTTCTACATGCAGTATCTGATTTGGGTTGATGCCAAACTCAATTAAATATTTCAACAGAGGGATATTTAAGGAGACCTGCAAGAATGCTGTAGATGTATTTGCTTTCTTAGCAAATAAATGACAGTATTTAGCACTTAATCCATTGTTTTTATCTGCTAAGCATTTTGAATACATTAATGAAAGTATTCTATAAAGTTTCATGTAGCTTATGCATGGACAATAAATCTGGGTAAGTGGGAGGAAAACAGTAGTGCTCACATTACGGAATAATCCCATCAATAGAGGAAGCTTCACTTTGTCAGAATCAGAAGGTGAGAAGGGACCTCAAAGGCCATCTAATCCAACCAACCCCCTGTACGGATGCAGGATGCACTACCTCCAAGCTATCCCAGACAGATGCCTATCCAGCTTCTTCGTGAAACCATCTGATGATAGAGGTTTCACAACTTCTCTGTGTAACATGTTCCACTGTCTTATTGTTCTTACTGTTAGAAAGGGTTTTTTTTCCTCTGACAATTAATCTAAATCTGTTTGGCTGCTGTTTAAACCCATTGCCCTGTATCTTGTTTAACAAACAAGACTTAGATAGCATGGACCAACATAGTCCATGCTCATAAGCCCAAGATTTAGATCACATGTAAATGGACTGTAACTTCTATACTTTTACTTCAACATGGAAACAAATGCACTCTACAAATTAAAAATTTGCATTGCTACCTCTTCTATGTTCAAATGCAAATAAAATATACAACCTACACCAACAAACCTAAATCCACACAAACTCATGGACAGCTTTTTTTTTTAATTGGGTAATTTTACACAATATAAAAATGGCTAATGGTTCTGTTGCAGACGTTATGTACTGGACAGCCTTCTAGAAAACAAACATCAAGACAGCAGCGTCCAACAAGAGGGGAAGTGTCATACTGCAATGGGCATAGATGCTGTAATAGTGACAAATCCTAAAACCAGCTTTGAACATCCTTTAAAATAGGTACATTAACAACATGTGGGAGCAAAATCTCAAACCTGATCAGTGGAGCAATGGGATTGGAAGAATGAATGTAGAGATTTCCCAGTATGTTTTACAAAAAATAAGTACTTAACATTAGGCTCCTAAATCTATATGTAATCACCTAATAGACGATCTTGTCTACAAAATGCTGCATATCCAAGAGCTTCCCCTGACCTCAGTGCAAATATCATTGTTTTTAAAAAAAACTGGGCCACATATTTAGGGCTCAACTGTAGGGGCTTTTACAAATCCTAGCCAGGCTGTCTTGAATTTATTCCTGGCTCTTTTTCTGAGGGAGTAACTCTTCTTTCTGTCCTTTATCTAGAAAACTGAGATATTGCTACTTGTTTTCTTTCACCCATACTGGGAGGAACTGCTTTGAGTGTGAAGTGTCATTTGACATCATGCTGCATAAATTTCTTAAATTCAGAGGCAAGGTTTTCCTTAAGTCACTGTGTCACTGCTTGGCTTTGCATCTCAGTTACTCCTGGAGTTAAAAAGAAGCAATTTTATCAGCAACAAAATGTTACACAAGAACATTAAACAGGTAGGTGTCAGAAACATGTGCAATCTATTATTTCACCTGCAGGGGTCCCTGCGAGATTGGTAATTCAAGTGGGAAAAAAAGGCACCTCAGGCAGAAAAATGTGCACACCTACAGAGCTCATCTCTTTTGCTAACATCGGGAGCTTTCAGACCAAGGCACAGCTATATCTCAACCCATCGTCATTGTTTCTTTCACTATCCAGCCATTAGGTTGCTAGGGAAGATATGCCTGTTAAGAAAGAAACAAGTCAAGTCAGCTCAGCCCCAGGGAACTGCTCCGAGTTAGCAGAAGGTCAGGCTTTATTGCTACCGAGACCGAACCATTGGGGACTCTTAGCCCATGTTAAGCAGCCTCCATTGGACAACAAGCCTCCTAGCATTTCCACCAAAAACAGACATTTTCAGAGGGGAGACCTCCTAGCCACAGCTCCAGCAAAAGTCAAGCATGGGGAACTACAGCCACTTCCTTCTTGCTCTCCAGTCTGGTGAAAGATGCTCTGGGGATCACCAGCCCCTGCCAATCCCTATTAGCTCCCTTCTCTCCTGCCCCACACGATACATTTCCCACACTATTGCCAAATGCATTCATATCTACACAACACCCCATTCTTTCTCCCCATCTCCTCTCACCCAATTAAATGACCTCTCCCCCTTCGACAGTGCCCTTCTAGCTTAAGTCAATACAGATCTCCCCTCTCCTTTCCCAACTATTTACACGATTCAGAACCACTGAGATACAGTGGCGCCAAACCATCTAACGACTGCACTACTGTTACAATCAACATCCCCCTGCTGTGAGAACCTAATGCTTGTCACCCTCATATCTTCCCTTCAGTTACATTTAAAGCTTCTCCAGCTCTGGACCATGTATTCCTACACATTTGTACAGTGACCACCAAAAGGGGATCCTAGCTTAGTCCAAGCGGTACCAAAACACTAATAAAAGAGCGTGGATCAGTAGTGACTTGATTATATATTTTTTAAAAATCAAGTGGCCATAAACAAGCGATTTGTCCTCTGTAGTCAAACTTAGTTGGAGGAAGATCATTTCTGTCATGTTCCAAGAAGACAGAAGATCTAATTAGAGACACATCCAGCCATAACGTAATGCTCTGTCCTCTTCTGACGACAGTCTGTCACTTTTAGTTATTTGAACAAATAAGGCAAGAAATTCACCTGCCCCCCTCTCTGCTGGTGCTCCCCAATAGCAGCAAGCCAACCGAGCAATCCTCCTGATTAGAAGGGGATACGTGCTGAGACACGGCTGCTTTTATTCTATAAATTGCTTTAAAAATAAACATTGTACAAAATCATGTCACAAAATGGGACATATTTGAAAACGGATTACAAGTGACTTGCAGTAGAGCTGAGAAATGGCAGTAACAAGCACAAAAGACAAAGCACCGAGATCAGCTTGCATCAGGTCACTGAAGAGATTGTGCACCCAGCTGGCCTCACAGATGTGCTTGTACTATAATTCATGCCAAAAAAGGGCTCCATTTTGGAGTCCATGCAGGCAAGTCACCCACTGGTATTTACAGGGACTCTGACAGGACCAAGGGAAGCTTATCAAAATATTAAGAGAATTTCACTGTAACCTTAGAGCGATAGCTTTAAAAACTGGTGGGTCACAATTTTAATACCACTCTTAGGTACATTATTGCAACCCTGAAACCTATTGTGTTGCAGCACTGTTATGTTTCTGCTAGTCTTTCAATCCCTTCACTTATTCTTGAAGGAAGAATTCAGTTTCGGTAGCTGGTCCAAAAGTACCTTAGACAAACTCTGACAATTATCACACACATAGCACCCAAATTAAGGGGCCCTTTTAAGGTTGAAATATTTTCTCGAATGTTTAACATGGTTCACCAAGAAAAAAGTTCCAGCCCACAGATAGCAGCAGTATCTTACAAAAGAAACTCAAATGGTTACAATATATTTCAACTTTCATACATAATCATCTGAAACAAAATTTCTACAAATATTTAGGTAATAGATTTACAGCAGTCTTTATATACACCCAGTTTATTTGTGGTAAATCCTCTCTCTATGCATCTATATTATAGATATATACATATACACATACTAATTAAAAACCCTGACATAGTAGAGTCTTGCATTTGTATGGAGAACGTCAGTTTGATGTTTCCAGAAATCCACGGTGCCTTAACTCAAGTCTCAGGCAAGTTTGGAAATGTCTTCATACTGGATACTGTCAACGCGGCGTCCTTTTAAAGGCCCCTGCAGATGAACAAATCACAAGAAATAAGAGAAAATATAAACCTGAGGTGATTTAAAATTATATATGAACCCAAGTCATCTGCTTTTAGAGGCATTTAAAAAAAATGTTATGTGAATGGCACTGGAAATGAAAAATCTGCCTAGCAGCAAACTGGCATTTGTACACAGGGCTGGACTAACTCTTATTGATTTTTAACTAACATTCAACCTTAATCCATCAAAGATGGGACAAGGCATGCATGAGCAAGGTCAGATTTTGGAGAAGACTGCATGTAATTAAATGAGCACAGGACAGGGTAGCAAGATTCAAGGAGACATTTATATGGAGAACAATGAATTTCAATTGTTCTTGCTAACAGATTTTGGAAGGGATGTAAAATCTTGTGCTTCCACCTCTATCTGAAATAAAAACAAGGTTTTCCATGGGAAAAAGATGAGCCTGTATCTGCTCACTACATGGCTTTTCACACATTCCCCTTGGGAAACCTTTTTAAAGCAGCTGGCCAGGCACACATGACTTGTTTGCTGCCAGTGACTTGTTCCCCTCCTCTACCAGTTGCTGTCAAAAACCCTGGCAAACACCAAGGGAAAACAGTAAGATTGGCTGCGAGGGTACAGAGCACTGCTGTAATGCAGCCCCTTTAAACTGTTCTTTAAAATAGCACCCCTCCTCTCCTGGCACTGAATCAGACCTTCGTGGGCCGGATCTAGTCCGCTGGCCACAGGTTGCTGACACCTGCCCTGAGGCATTTGGTGCTGAAACATGGGATGCTGGACTAGATCCTGGGTCTGCAATTCCCACATTGCTAAAGGAGAACAGCTACATGGCCAGTGATGAGGAATTCCTTTGCAGATGCTTTGAAATAGGGCCATATGAAACGGTTATGTTTCGATTTGGTTTCAGATTTGGCCATTTCAGAGGGACAGTGATTTGTTTCAGTGTTTTGGATGACACTTCCATTTCGATTTGGCCAAATCTGTTTCGGAGTTTTGATGCTGTTTTGGTGATTTGGCCACAGGCTGAAATGGGGAATCACTAAAATGCCTACAACTTTGTCATCTCTTGCCTGATTTGGATGTACATTGCAGGGATGGTAGCCCCTTCTGAGGGCATGAAGCCTGCCAAGTTTCAAGGAGCTGGTGAAGGGGTTTCTGGGAAACTGCACCTCAAACTGTTCAAACCAAAATTTGCATCACTTGCTGGCAGTGGCAGCATGCTGTCATCCAACACACAGATCCAGGGGCCATGCTCCCCCAGGAGGGCTGCAGGGCTGTGTCAGACTCCTAGGGAGTGTAGGCCCCCAGATCTGTGCGCAGGATAATAGCAGACTGCTGCTGCCAGCTGGGAGTGGTGCCTGGTGCAGCCTGTGCCAAGCACCAGGAAGACTGGTGCTGCCACTGGCCCCAGCCAGCAGCAGCAGCCTGCTGTCATCCTGTGTGCAGATCTGGGGGCCCGCACCCCCGGGAAGGCTGCAGGGTTGTGCCGGACTCTTCCTGGGAGGCACAGGCCCCCGGATCTTTGCGCAGGATGATAGCAGTCTGCTGCTGCTGGCTGGGGGTAGCACCAGCACTGGGTTCTTTCTACTGCTCAGCACGGGCTGTGCCAAGCAGACTCAGGTGCTGGCACCGGTCCCAGCCAGCAGGAGCAGCATGCTGTCATCCTGCACACAGATCTGGGGACCCGCATCCCCCCGGAAGGGTTGAGGGGTTGTGCTGGACTCCTCCCAGCAGATCTGCACATGGGATGACAGCAAGCTGCCATCCCTCCCTCAGACTACAGAGATTAAAAGGGACCCCAGGGACAGATTACAGACACTGGCCAGCTACAGATGTCAGTATCAGAGCAGTCCTTTCCTCCCTCCCTCTTAGTTTCTGTTTCCTTGCAAGCCCGGCTCCAAAACCCTGAAATTTTCCAAAACATCTCAGATGGTTTTGTTTTGTTTCAGAGATGTTTCGGAGCCTCCCGTTTAGTTTCAGAGTCAGTGTTTCAGGCCCCGAAACAGGTCGAAACACCTCCAAAACGAAATAGCTCCAGAAGTTTCGCACAGCCCTACTCTGCAATGTGCAAAGGGAATTCCTCAGAAAGCAATGCCTTTGCTATACACACAGGACCAAGGGTATGGCCCTCTACTGTTGTGTGAGCTCTGAGGCAAAGTATGTGGTAAGGTCTTAGCGTTTCCCTGGAAGACTTTTTCCCCTCAAGAAGTTTCCGCGCACTTTTGATTGGATGGGTTCTGTGTGCTTTTGATTCCAGGACAACTGCAAGCAGCTTTTTTGAACCATTCTTTGTGAAAGGAACATGAGAAACTACTGACCCTCCCACATGCTGCAAGAAGCCCCGTAACACTGTCAGACACATTAGTATACGTATAGATTTAGAAGCCTAATGTTAAGTACTTATTTTTTTATAACAAATGTTGGGAATCCCTACATTGCATAAAACTTTAACTTGTAAAAAGCTCTAGAATCCCTCTAACTTGCATAAAAAACTCACCACCCCCGGGCACCATCATTCAGTAGGTGATTATAGTGGGGGCTAGCATTTCAATGACAAAACTCTCATTGGCATTAACAACTGCAGAAGGAAAAAACAGCACCTTACACTCAAGTGCAACTCAGAGAATATTTTCTGTGAGAAATGTGCTTTGTAACAAAAATGCAAATACAGTTTTTAACTATAAAGTAGCATGAACAAAGAAACTATATCCATTAAACAGCAAGCCACGTGCTGTTTGGTAAATACTGTAAGAAAATTTATTCTTTTACATGTATTACTAAACCCAAGGGTTAAAGGGTTAAACACAGGAGGCATTTAAGTTGCAGGAAAGACCTGCAATTTCTGCAGATGAATCTATGGCTCAAGGATTGGACTCTTATGTCACCTCAAGACCCATCAATGAGCTGTGGTAGAGATCATCCTTGAATTGAGGAATTGCTGCCAACGCTACATTTAAGTTGAACTCACTAAACAGTTTACAAGTATATCTATGAAATGAAATGTGCATATTCAGTATCTGGTTGTCCTTTAAAGGTAACATGGTCAATGTAATAGGTAGGGACTTAGAAAACCTTGCTCCTAGTCTGACAAGCCTGTTGAAGGACTACAGGCACTGTTGTGTGCCTGTAGTCCCTTCTGCTGATTTCCCATCAGCAGAAGAAGGATAATGATCTTGATTTCCTTTCTAAAGGACTTGTGAGTCACAGATGAAAAATCCTACATAGGAGATATGTGCCATTGTGTGAAACCATACTTACAGAGTCAATTATTATTGTAGCAGAGAAGCTCTTCTCGTTTATAGATTCCAAGATGCCTTCGTTTCCTCTGTAACCTCCATTTAACACCAAAACTTTCTTTCCTAAAATAGCAAAATAGGAAAAAATCTTTGTCCCAAGGAACTCTCAGCATCTTTTGACCTGCCCTTCTGTTCAGACAGCACCAGACAGAGATGCTTTGCAAAGTCCATATCAGAACTGCAGATCAGGGTTCATTAGCAGGCTGTTCTGAGATAATGCTCAGTTTTCCCCCAGGGCTTGTAAGTGTCATGATGCTCTTTAGTTTAATACTAACAGGTGGACATGTTAGTAACTTCTGTAGACTGGGTTCACTGCACATCCCCTGGATCACTGCACCCCTGCACACTGCTCCCCATGTACCTTATACTCTTCTACTTCAGAAACCTTCTGCAACAGCTTCCACAACTTTCCTCAACCCAGGGCTGTGTGGATTTTCCCCTTGCCAGGGTTCCCTTTTCTGTTGCTGTACCATGCCCCTCCCACATTATGTGCCACCTTCCCTTCTCCAACCAAGGATCCTGGTCTCCCGTTTTCCTTCTCTGTGCATCTTCCCCCTTCCAATCTACCAGAGGGTTCTCTGTAATCTCCCATTCAGCCCAGGCCAGAAGCTGTGTGTCAGCTCATTTCCTCCCTCCCACCTACCCACCCATAACACAGATCTTCTTCCTCTTCCTGCCAGGGGTTGTCTGTGTTGCCTACACCCCCTTCCCTTTACAGAAGGGTCTCCACTCTCTTTCTATGCCATGGGCTCTGTGTCCCCATGTCCTCTCACTCTCCATAAGGGCTCTCTGTCCCCTCATTCTGGATGCTGTGCCCCTCTTCTCTCCACACTCCTTTTCTCAAAGCCAGGGGGATCAGAGTATGCCCCTGCAAGCCGGTTGTCTAGACCAATAGTTTCTGCAGGTGGGTTTTGTTCCCTGAGGAGCTCCTGAGCCAATCTTCCCAAATGCTACTCAAGGACTTTGCTTTAAGACAACAAGCAAAAAACCAAACAAAACCAAACCCTTCTGCCTTGTTCTAAGCCAGGGGTAGGCAACGTTTTTTGGCTGGAGTGCCAAAAACCCCGCAAAGTCTACCTTAGAAGGTGCCGGAGTGCCGGCATGCCATAAAAACAAAATTGGGGAGGGGAGGTAGGGAAGGGGGGCACCATACAAGGCAGGATGCACTGCATATTAATATATTTAATTATCATAAATGTTGCCTTTGCTGTTGTGTATTTTTTTTGTTACGCATGTTGCAGTGACAGGAAAAAAGAGAAGTAAGAGAATGAGGAGAGAGAGAGAGAGAAAGAGGGAAAGAAATTAAAAAGAGGAGAGAGAGAGAGAACACCAGGCACGTACACACACACAGAGAACCACACACGCGCACACACTGAACCAGAACAGACGCATGCACACACACAACCAGACGCAGACAAACATACAGAACCAGATGCATGGGTGCACAGAGCCGGGCTGCTGGGACCACTGGACAAAGTCTGACCTAATAATGCCCTAGGCCTGCTGGAGCCCCTGTGCTTCCCTGGGAAGCCAGCCCCCGGGCTGCAGCGTGGCCAGCCAAGGCCCCAGCCCACAGCCTTCCCATCAGCCCAACCACCCACCCCGCACAGCTAAGCCCGCACAGGTGTGGCATTCCTGGCAAGGGGCAGCGCCAGCCTCATCCCAGTGGGGGGTGGGCTGGACCAGTGCTGGGCTTGGAGTGGGTGGGAATCAGGCCGGCTCAGCTGCAAGCCCTGCTGCAAGCAGCACAGGCTCCATAGTTGGCAGCAGGTACCCAGAGCTATGGCTGGCTGCAGCCAGGAGGTTGCAAACAGCTGCACGCAGGCCTCAGAGCAGATTGGGGGGTGGGCCCTGAGGCAGCACAACCCTGGCCTCTTCCCTGCTGCCGACATAGAGCTGATGACTGGGCTCCGGAGCCCAGAGCAGCTGCTTGTAGCCAGCCTGGGCTCTGGACCGCTGCAGCAAGCAGGCTGCAAAGAGCTGTACCAGCCTATGGCATCAGCTCTGTACTGGCAAATGCACCTGCACCTTGGAGTGGGCGGTGGGGTGGGCCTGAGGCAGCACAACCCTGGGCTCTCCCCTGCTGCCAGCACAGAGGAGATGGCAGGGCTCCGGAGCCCAGCGCAGCTGTTTGTAGCCAGCCTGGGCTCTGGGCAACTGCAGCAAGCAGTGGGCAGGCTGCAAACAGCTGCGCTGGGCTCCACAGCTCCGGCATCAGCTCCATGCTGGCAATAACTGCACATGCACCTCAGAGCGGACAGTGGACATTCCCTCATTATCCAAATGCCCTGAAGCTGGGCTCTCTTAACAGGGCTGTTTCCTCTTAAAGGGACAGGCTACCCCGTTCCAGCTCTCTTTTCCTGTTTTTTTTTATTATTTCTGTTCTGTCACCTGCTGTTATGGCTCAGTGGTAGAATTCTTGTTCACCATGCAGGAGACCTGGGTTCAATTCCTGGATGCATATATAACTAGAGGCACTGATGTCTCAAAAGTCTAAAGGGGAGATGGAAGATTTGTCCAGCCTCCACTCCTCCATACTCCTGCCTAGGCATACATGCCAAAAGTCCAGGGATCCTGGTGTTCCATTTTAATCATGGAAAAATGTGGATTTGGGGTTACTTTTCGTTAACCAAAAATTGGGGATTTTTTTTTAAAACCAGAGAAAACCAGGATCCCTGCTAATGACCTCTCACCCATACACTGTGATCCAGGACTAATAGTTGCTTACTATCTCTGCATCATACAGGACGTCAAACTCTTAACATCTCTGACTTTCTTGGCATGCTGGCAGTGACTCATTGAGGTGGGTGGGCGGGATTGCCACTTGGCGCACTGCATTGGGCCCTATCCCATGTGGGCCAGGCCGCTGCTGGCTGCAGTGCCAGGACTGTGCAGCTGCAGTGCCAACAGGAAGCCAGGAGGGGAAGGATGCGGGGGGGGGAAGCAGAGGAATCTGTGTGCTGCATGGCCTGGCCTGGCCCCAACTGCAGCACAGCAGAGCAGCATAGGGCACAGCCCTTCTGGTGGTGGCCAGCGGCCAGACAGAATCAACTGGTGGACCAAATACAGCTCGCAGGCTGTACTGTGCCCACCCCTGAGCGAGAACATTCCCTGAATTGTTGGAACTGAGTAGCTGTGGTTTTCAAAAGTTACTGCATTATAGATGAACATCTACAAAAATACTACCAAGATGTCTGCAAGAGCTCCCAAACTTGGCCAATTCTATATGTCCATACTAAGCATAATTTTGGAGGGAACAGGCAGTCTAAGAATGATACAAGGCAAGCAGGAAAGTTTTTGGCAAGCCATCTCTGCTATCGCCTGGTAGTTGAAAAAGACACACTTTCATCTAGTTAAACGAAAGGATCCAAAAAAATACTTATATATCCTCCTTAGAAGAACATCATTCCTTTAGGAGAGGACTGTGAAAAACCCAAAAAGAAAAAACCAACAAAATTTCCACCAAGAGAGGCCACAAGATGGTTGAAGAATTGCCAGAATATCAGAACCCAACATGGATAAGAAATGTGCTTATTCAGAGATGTAGCAAAAAGAGGCTTCTTGCCAGAATCTTCAAGTGAAGGCTTAGGAATTATAGCTTAAAGAATGAAAACACAGATAATGATTTGATGGCTGGTTTTGAAATGAATTTACCTGGTGCCGGGATTACTGTCTCTAGATGTGTCTGGTCAAGTTTCAGCTTGTCTCCAGAATCAATCATCTTTACCACTGCTGTGTATTTGTCAATTACTTCCTGTCATGGAAAATCAAATATATTAGGAAGAGTGGTGATGGGGAAGGGAGGGTACCACATACAACTATTTTTTTAAAGAGAATAATAAAGTGACACACGGAGAAGAGGATTCTAAGCAAATAGCTTAGAAATAATCGTGCTTTGAATTTTTCCAAAGGTTTAATTTAAAAATGAGCAGATATCCAAGAACATAACTTTACTGCTGAGCTAGAAGTAACTAGAGATTTCAGGTGTCCAAACTGAGATGTTTAAAAAGGACCTGATTTTCAAAAAAAGTTGGGAACCCTCATTTTTTAAATGATGCCCAGTTGGTTAGTCATTCTGCATTCCCACTTGAAACACTTTAAAGCATCAGTTTTGTCATGTTTGACCAGATCAATTGTCTGGTCTAGGAAAGTTTTTTGTCTCTGATAGTAGCCATAAAAGGCTGTGTCAGAACAGCAGAGGCAGGCTTGGCCAGCTGAAAAGCTTCTGAACACACAGGGTATGTGTTCAAAGATAATTTGGGAGTTTTTCTTGTCAGGGCAGAGTTGAAATCCTTAGGTACCCCCCAGAAACCAGATGACTTTATGGTCTAAGGAAAAAGTCAGCCATGTGATCAGATCCTCAGAATAAAACAGATCCAAGAATAAACTTTAATATGGAGGACCAAATAAAAGAGTGAAGGATCCAGGAACACATTAACACAAACTACAAAGTTATGGGAAAGCCTGTGTTCTGACAGTTGAAATTCAACTTCTAGCAGCTCCAATATCTGAACAAAACCCTGAGACATGTATTTTTTTGGTTGTTGTGGAAACAGACCCACCTTCCCATTACTGTATTCAAACTTTTCCCAAATGAAATGCTCTGTACTCACCTTAACAACTGCCTTCTTTTTGTGATACTTCTCACCTAACTTTTTTGTTACAATTTTTACAACAATCTCCTGGATGAAGAGTGGGGAAAAAAAGAGAGAAGAAAAGGCTACATACAATATACACAGTTTAGTGTCCCTCTTCAATTATTTTTTAGCTTAAGCTGTCCCACCCATACAGACCGCAATTTTCTGTTATGTAGCATCAGAAAGCAAAGATGCTAAGACTTGCTGTTTATGCTAGTGCTACAGCATGTTACTTGCTCCAACTGAAACATTTTTGTTTTAAAAGCATATTTCAATTTGATTTTGGTACATCAAACAGCAACCATAGACATCGCACTACATCTTGAAGCTCTGGATTTAACTGTATGCGCCTTCTATTCACATTTCAAGAACCAATTCTGCTAGCCGATTCCTAAACCTTTATGTAGCCCCGTAGCTAATCTGGAAGAGGGTCAAACTTTGCTAAAATAAATTACAAATGCATTCAGAGAAACTTGAATCATACTCATCCTTTAACCACAGAGTAACCCACCGCAACAGAAGAGAGGGTAAATATCTGGAGCATTATATGCCATAGAATAATAAAAACTGTACAACTAGGGAAATTAAATCAGTTTACAAAATCCGGGAGAAAGTCTTGTATGACAATTTGTCTTTCTGAAAAATAAAAGAGCATTTGTTTCAAATTCAACCTTTGGATCTAGACACTGCAAATCAAGAGCTCTATGCATATACTCAAAGGGCAGAATTTTCCTTGATAGACTTGTAATGATTTAGGTACTTACAGGCTGCAACCAGTAGTCTGTCCGGGCCGTTTTTTTCTTTTCTTCTTCAAACTATGGAAGAAGAAAAAAAAGGAAGTGTCAGTCACCATGTCACTATTTTCATATGAAAGCAATGTTCCCCTTCCCAAACAAATTCTATATATTCTGATAAAAATAACCCAAACAAGCTAAAGTGGGTTAGTGAAAATATTTTATTTTTATGTAACAATCTGAGGAAGTCCAGAAATATGAGTTAAAATAAAAGTGTTTCTGTTATATTTAGTCCAGCCAAAGGTTTAGAATCATTTTCTTTTCTGGTGGAATAAGGACACTATAGCACAGGGGTCAGCAACCCCCAGCATGTGTGCCGAGCACGGCACACAAGGCCATTTTGCTTGGCGCACAACCTCCAGCCCGGGCTCTAAGCAGCTGCTGTCAGCCACGGAGCCCAGGCTGCTCCCAGCAGGCGGCTGGGAGGCTGCAAGCCCTGCTGCAAGCAGACTGGGTTCCTAGGGCTGGCTGCAGCCGGGAGGCTGCCAACAGCTGCTCCGGGCTCCAGCATGTCAGCACCCCGGCACCTTACAAGGTAGACATTGTGTTTTTTTTGGCACTCTGGCCAAAAAATCTTGTCTACCCCTGCTGTAACAGGTAGCAGTGCAGCTTATGAGGCACTGGTATGAAATAGAGCAAGCTGCTATCACCACTTAAGAGTGAGCTGGACCCTCCAATCCTCGTTAAAGTTAGCCCAAGGGAGAGTGCATTAAATGACACAACCTTGTCATTAGAAAGGCATGCAAGGTTAGATACAAACTCCACTATACCTCCATGATCTCATCCAGTGCAGATTTCTTCTTTTTCTCCTTTGACTGACTAGAGCTTTCACCAGTTTCTTTCCGTTTAACCGATCCGGTTCCTCCCACCATCTTCAATGCACTGGGCCCAAGGACACTGCCGGAAGAGGGGTGCGACTAATGATGAGATAGTGTTTTCATAATCAGTCTCAAAACTGACACTGCTACAGAGATGCATCTGATGAAATCAATTGTGCAAACAAGTGCTACTGATTTTTTAGACACCCCAACCCCCAAACCTATGTGGACTCCAACACCAACAGGAGCGGATCAACAGGTGCCAGATGATTGGAAGGTAGCAAATGTGGTCCCCATCTTCAAGAAGGGGAAGAGGGAGGACCCGGGCAACTATAGGCCCGTCAGTCTTACCTCAATCCTGGGGAAACTCTTTGAGAAGATCATCAAGGAGCACATTTGTGATGGGCCGGCATCAGAAATGATGCTCAGGGGCAATCAGCATGGATTTATTAGGGGGAGATCATGTCAGACCAACCTGATTGCCTT